AAGCTCGTGATAATTTAACTTTACAACATGGACATGCCCGCAACAGAGGAGCTAACAAGTTTCATCACCACAGAGAGCGACTATGTCATTCTGAAATCCATCTGACATGAAGTACAACAAACCAAGAGAAGAACAGAAACATCAGGCTTCTGGTCACTAACGATGAAACAACACAAATTCAAAACATGTTAACGTAGTCCGTAGAAATGCTCTAGCTAGTTTGCCATTTGTTGCCAAGTGACTGATGATGACGTTGGTGACAAGCTTTACCCAGAATGCACCTGGAGACAATAAGGACGACTCATTTGTAGTTTTGTGTCGTAAAGTCAAATATAAGAGTGAAAATAAAGCCAGTCATGTAGCACAACATTTTATTCAATATTTTACACCCACTATGTCACTAAAATCAGTCTGGTAAGGTTTTTAACAACCATGAGTCAACAATGGGGAACCCTACTATATAACCTACCGTGGTATTGTACACAGTTCTCAACAGGGGAAGGCCCTCCTTTACAGTTCTCATCAGATTTATTTATTTTATTTTATTATTTTTTTTTAAAGAAAATTTTGATCTCTGAAGACATGTTCTACCTCCCGTGTGGCCCCCCCTGTAGGTCCAGGCTGGGGATCCTGCTGCAACCCCTACTCTATCTGTTGCTCCTTCTTTGATGTGATGTCACAAATATTTTACAATTGTGGGAGGAACTGTCTAATGTTGATTTCTAAATCAACACCAGACTGAGTGCTGATTTAGACTGTTGGTGTTGATTTAGAAATCCACACTGGACTGGATTGCTTTTTGTTTAACTCTTTGGAACTCTTTAGTGAGTGTTAGGGAATCTACACTCACTAACACTCATGTTGTTGAATTAACACTATATTTTTAACATAGAACACTTGCACTGGAAATCTGACACTTCCGAATTTGCTGTGTAATATCACTGGATTCATTGTAACACCTATAAAGACCTAAGGGTGGTTTGAATCAAAAACTGTCATTAGGCAACAGGATTCTTTCTTATTCCTAATAGTGTTTTGCCCAGATATCCTTGGTTTTGAGCTGGTTTTGTCCGAATGAAACTGATCTAGAGCTGACTGTTTTCAATCCAACCTTTATCTTCCATTTACAGCCTAAACCGAGAGACCTAAACTTTGCTCTCCCCAGCCAGTTGTTCCAGCTCCTCCAGTGGAATCCCAAGGGGACCCGAACAAGCCAAGAAGCACAGTCCTTCCAGTATGTCCTGGCTCTTTCTCTGCGTGTCCTCCTGGTGGGACGGGGCCGGAACATCTCACCAAGAAGGCATCCAGGAGGCATCTTAACCAGATGCCCGAACCACCTCAACTGGCTCCTCTCCATGTGGAGAATCAGCGTCTCTATTCTGAGCCTCTCCCAAATGACAAAGCTTCTCAAACTAATTCTATAAGTTAGAGCCCAGACACTCTACAGAAAAAAAAATATTTATATTCACAATCTTGTTTTTTTCAGACACAACTCAAAGCTCATTACCACAGATGAGGTTCGGAAGGTAAATTGACTGTTATAACAAGACAGAGCTTCACAGCTTCAGCACCAGCCCCTCATCGATCTCCTGCTCCATTTTTCCCTTGTTTTTGAAGAAGACCCCTTCTGACACTGGGGCTGTGTAATAATATCGATTTTGCAATATATATCGATATTTTCTTTCCTAGAAAAAAATCGATATTCATCC